GACCATGACGTCCTGGGCCATGAAGCATATAATAAAGGATTCGCAGGCTATGAAATGATGTTCTCAGGGCCATGAGGATGATGCCTCCGAACCATGATGCCTTTGAATAATGATATGCGAAAGATAAAAGTGGGGTCCTCAAGCCATGGCATGGCGTTCTCGGGCTATGAAAATTGTGCCTCCGAACAATGACGCCCTTGGACAAATTGGCAATGTTTCAGCCCATGAAAATGCAGAAGGTGGCGATCTTTCAGCCGATGCAAGATTTAAATAAAGGTGGCAATATTTCAGTAGATGCAGAATTTAAATAAAGGTGGTGATCTTTCAGCCGGCGGATGTAAATAAAAGTGGTGATATTTCAGCCGATGCAGGATTTAAATAAAAGTGGCGATATTTCAGCCGATGCAGGATGTAGATGAAGGTGGCGATATTTCAGCCAGCGGATATAAATAAAAATGGTGATATTTCAGCCATGCAAGATGTAGATGAAGGTGGCGATATTTCAGCCAACGGATGTAAATAAAAGTGGCGATATTTCAGCCGATGCAGGATTTAAATAAAAATGGCGATATTTCAGCCATGCAAGATGTAGATGAAGGTGGCGATCTTTCAGCCATGCGGATGGAGGTAGAGCTTAACCTCGGAAGGCAGAATGGTGGCCTTATGCAATGCAGAAGAATGCAGATGGAGACAATGCTTAGTCTCGGAAGGCAGAATGGTAGCCTTATGCAATGCAAAATGCAGATGGAGACAATGCTTAGTCTCGGAAGGCAGAAAGGTAGCCTTATGCAGTGCAAAAATGCAGATGGAGACAGAGCTTAGTCTCGGAAGGCAGAAAGGTAGCCTTATGGAATGTAGAGGTAAAAGGTGAATAGTAATGAAAGCTCTTAGCTGATAGATGATAGCTGATAGCTGATTGCGTCGTTGTGGCTGCTGGGGATGTCATGTGCGGATAGCACTTGTAAGTAAGTGATGATTCTGAGAGTTGTATTCCTGCAAAAGTATGAGTATGTAATCGTATCTGATTATTTTATGTCTTGGGGTGCCTGCATTCAAAGAAAAATCGTGAGTTTTGTAAAGGGGGAAGGTTAGTTCGTCCTCCCGTGGACTTCGCTTGTCCTATTCGGCTCTTGCTTTCATTGGGGGTAGCGTCGCTAAACAAAGCAATTCTGATAGTAGCTATGCATGATTTAGTAAAGAATATGATGTAACTAACATCAATACCACACCGTACATATTTTGAAATACAAGTAAATACATGTTACTTAAGTTATACATAAGTATTCAGTATTATATAAATATATATATAAACCGAGACATGTATGTAGTTGTATTTATGATTATTTTCAAGCTGTATTCTGCTAATGTATACTGTATTTTCAAGTTGCAAAGAACCTACAGTTCCATACAACTACATACAACATAATCTAAATGTAGTTGTATTTAAGTTTTACAGAATACAATATTCATTAAAAGAATACAGTATTTATTAACTTGAAACTACAGTATACAGTAACAGAATACAGTAACTGAAACATGTATGTAGTTGTGTTTATGTTTATTTTCCACTTTATAAAACACTCATATACATCTGTATACATTAACAGAATATAGATGCTAATCCTGTTTCTAATGAAGCAATAGTTGAGGGGAATAATACATCTGAGATGTTGTGTATCATACCAGCTATATGTGTATCCAAAGAAGTACATGTATCACAGTTTGAGTTGTCGGACCAGTTTCTTCCAAGTCAAATACCAGAAGCTAGAATTGTGATACATCATGCAGCAAAAAATCCAGCAGATGCAACCCCATTAGCCTCACATAGGAATCGGCATCCAAGTAGATGGTATTCTTCGCCTTATGAGTCAAACTTCGACTCCGCGGGTTAGTAAGTTTTTTTAAAAATAATGTATTATAAAGTTATGATCTTCTTCCCCCTTGTATGTATAATTAAATGGTTGTATTCATGACTTTACTGAACAATAGGTACCTCAGTTAAGTTGACTCCCATATTCGACAAGAAACACCCATTTGAAGATGATTTGATTTCGGGACCACATCCTACATTAGTCATTCAGGAGTATGAGAAATGGGTTCGTGATGGTCTTCTCGCTAAACATTATCAAAAGTTAGTTTTTAACTCTGTATGTCTATTCAATATATTTATAATTTAAATAATAGACATATTGCATTTTGAAATTCATTGTAGAAGTGATTTGGAAGACCATTACAAAAAGAACAAGTCAACACTGCATATACCATTGGATTTTGGCGTTGATCAAGTCACTTCAAAAAACTGGTTTTACCTTCTCTCATTTGACGGCAAACTATGGAATGACAATGTAAGTTAACCTCCTTCCACATTCAGTTTATTAAATGTATTCAGTATCAAATAAATACATGTATTAGGCATTATGTATGTAACATACAATTTTACTAATCTGTTTTCAGCAGTTTATATTTAACATACAAATAAATGTGTTCAATTCTGTTTTCAACAATTTGATATTTTCTAAATTTCATTCAATGTACTGACGCTATGTATTCAATTTTACATGTAGCATATTGATGCCATATTTTACTACTTAAGAAAGAAGGGAAAGTACAACCAAATACCCAACTTCAAGTATGCAACTGTTGATTGTATATTCAAGACAAGAATAGCTGAAATATTTGACAGGTATGCTGATACAGATAGTAATGCAAATGTAGCCAAAGAAGAGGATGTGGTACGTGAATACATAAAGGGCTACAGATTGCTGGCTAATGTACCGTGGCATACTGTTGACAATGTCTTGATACCAGTCAACTTGAAGGACAAACTGCATTGGGTACTGGCAGTTGTCTCATTCAAGGATAGATGTATCAAAGTGTATGACTCCATTAGATTAGCATTGCATGA